GTTCTACTCCATCCAAGTTCTGTGACTGAGACTTTTTTTTTTTTTTTTTGAAATTCATACTTTAAATGGACAGGGTTCCCTTTCGATACTACACTCGTACTGTGTCCGCTAGACGCATATGGGAAAAAAAACTTTTTCTCCTAAACTGAAGCCTTTTTCATTCACGCAGTGAAACTGCACAGCCAGTGGTTCGTGCAGTGTATTAAAAAATGAACCCGCCAACCCTGCCAAAGACCGCCAGATTGGGCGGGGCGTCTGGCTATATAAGCAGGCGTTCGCCACAGGATTCTCCGATTTTTTCTCCTTCAGCGACGACTCTACGCTCATCGCTGATCCTGAAAGCCTGCTCGCCGTTGACACGCCTTCGCAGCTGGAATCGAGACCTCTCAGCACAGCTGACCTGCTTCTCCTCCGCTACAGCGTTGCAACAGTTCCGGTCCATTTTCCCTGCCGCCATCCGGCGATTCTGAAAGAGCTTATTTCTAGCAGGTAAGCCCTAAAAGAGCAAATTCTAGCGACGTTGTTGCAAATGTTACGCTGTGAGTGTGGCTCGTGCAGGGAAACTTGCACGATGCAGAAGAGCAATGAGTTCGTCATCTGTCTGGGCAGACCCCACGCAGAGACTGCTCTCTCACTGAGATGGAATGCTCACTCGATCATGAGTCTCGCTCTTCTCCACTCGCGAACCGCCTTCACTGAAAGCAGCCCAGCTCTCCCGTATCTCCTCTCTCAGCGAGCCTCGGAGAGGGAAACAGCGGAGTCAGGGAATAAGCAATCGGTCTGACTGATCTCATGCCGGCACTGTGCCTGCATGCTCTCTCGCCGTTGCACTCGGATCCGCCGCAGAAGGGCAGTGAGCTACGCGCTTACTGAGACAGAATGCTCACTCGAGCATGAGTCTCGCTTTTCTCCACTCGCGGTCCACCTTTCACTGAACAGCCCCGCTCTCAGGTTTCTCCTCTCTCAGCAAGCCTCGGAGAGAGAAACGACGAAGCCTGGGAACTAAGCAACCGTGTCTGAGCGATCTCACGCCGACACAGAGCCTGAGTACTCGCTCTCCCCCCTGCGCTTCGATCCGTGTCTCACACAAAAGGATCAGTGCCCCTCTTTACATCGAGCAGCTCTATCCTCCTAAGTAGATCGGAGCAGATGCTGCCGCTGACAGCTTCAAATTTGTGTGTGTGTCACTATGGCTGCACTCACAGACACGGGCTGCTTTTACCACAAAAGTAGTCTGCCCCCGTTCGTTTGTGGAAGGTGGCCCCGCCTCCCCGCGCTCATGTTTCTCTCCTCCCAGCTACCTTGGAGGAAGCAACGACGAGCTCGCGGGTTGAACGATCAGACTTGAGCAATCCTCTATACACATCATGCGTGCTTAATCTGCCAGTGTGTGTTACACATAAGGAATCAGTGCACCTCGTTATACGAGCAGCTTAATCCTCCCAGGCAGATCAAAGCGAAACGCGGGCAGCTTCGCATTTGTGTGTGCGTCGCTGAGCCCCGCATCCCCTGCTCTTGTGTTTCTCTCCTCCCAGTTACTCGGAGGCAGAAATGGCAAACTCGCGGGTATGATCGATCAGGCTTGAGTGATTTAATGCCGGCAAGGCCCCCGCTTGCATCACTCTCCACGCAGGTCTTTGATCTGACACGAGAGGATCGCCGCCCCTCATTGTCGAGCGGCTCAATCCTCCTGGGCGGTTTGGGGCAGAACACTGTCACCAATGATTCAATATCGCTGACAGCTTTGTATTTGAACGCTCCTCTCGCCTGGGTCACGCCCACGCTTAGGCTGCGCTGCTGAGACAGACCGCTCTTACTACGAGAGTTCATGTCTCGCTCTGCTTTGCTCGCGGCTCGTTAGGCGGATTAAAAGAGAATGCTGTCACTAATGATTATTATCAGCTTCAAATTGGATGCGTCTGGGCCACGCCCACGCTGAGGCAGCGCGTACGAGGGCTGACTGCTCTGCTATGAGAGCATTAAGTCTAGCGAAGTCTGTGCGAGGGCATACAGACTTTCGGCCACTGGCCGAAGGCAGAAAAAGGCTTCCACACCAACTGCCTGGAAATACTAGCAGTATGTTGAGCCTGTCAGTTCTTCCTGCCAGTCCTAAAAGGGCACCATGTGCTCAACCCGTGCTCGCTGAGAGCAGCGCATATACCGTGCAAATTGAACCAAGGAGCGGACATGTTATCAAGGAGCAAGGTCCCCTCAAGGGAGTGGACGCTCCATCCGCAGACGGTTCAGCGAGGCCGAGGTGGACCTTTTCGCCTTAGAAGACAACTCTCACTGCCCAATCTATTTCTCAAAGACCAGGGACGCGTTGGCCCACGATTGGCCCAACCTCCTTCTTTATGCTTTTCCCCAGATCGCTCTGATCCCACAGGTAATCAGGCGAGTGAGGGAACGAGAACACAGGGTTCTCCTGGTGGCCCCCCTTTGGATGAACCAGCTGTGGCTATCGGAGCTAACTCAGCTATTGATAGCGGCCCCTTGGCCTGTTCCGCTGAGATAGGATCTCCTCTCTCAAGCGAATAGGACAATATGGCATCCTCAGCCTGACCTATGGGCCCTGCACCTCTGGCCACTCGACGGGAGCCTTCGAGCCTCCCAGAGCGAGTCTTAAACATAATTTCGGAGGCTAGAGCTCTGTCTACGAGACGCCTCTATACCTTAAAGTGGTATATTTTCTCCGCTTGGTGTCTAAACCGCAGCAAAGACCCTCATACTTCTGATTTGACAGAGGTGTTGTCATATCTGCAAGAGCTGCTGGATAAGGGACGTTCCCCATCCACGCTCAAAGTCTATGTGGCGGCTATAGCGGCCTCTCATGTTCACTTGGAACCTCAACCGAGGTGGTACTAAAAAAAGTACCAGGTACTGTACCCAGTGGAAAACCACCCAAAAGTGAACTGTACCGAGCCGTACCATGCCGTACCATGAAGTGAAAAAGTGCCATTAGTCGCAGAGTCTAGTAAAAGACCATTGTATTTCTCTATTAGGGGTGGGCGATATTAGCTAAAATTCATAACACAATATTTTACACTGTCCAGGTGATATCGATATTATATTGCAATATGAGAAAAAAAAATACAGGCAAAATATTTTAACCTTATATAACTAGAAAAAGTGAGGGATTGGACATAGACCTGAAAATTCTTTTTTTTATTGTGCCATTGTTTTTCTCAAAAAGTGCAAATGTGCAACATGAGGTAGGCCTGTATAAATTAAATTAAATTAAATTAAATATTGTGTGTTTGAGTTGGCCAGTGGTTCCCAAACTTTTCCTGCCGGGCCCCCCTTCTGTAGAGAAAAATATTTTCAATATTTTTTTTTGGAAAGCCTCTTATGCTCACCAATTCAATTCAAGTTTATTTGTATAGCACTTTTCACGATACAAATCGTTGCAAAGCAACTTTACAGCAAAGTAGGTTTCTACAATATTTAGTGGTAGCTTATCAGTGGTGACCAAGCTCACCAAGGCTACATTTATTTATTAAAATACAGTAAACACTGAAATATTGTCAATTTAAATTATCTATTTGAATGTTTTAACATAATTTTTTTACGATTCTCTTAAGAATATTTGAAATTGTTCTTTGTGTCAGAGCGCTGGAGTTCATCAGAAATGGAACGGGGCATCAGTTTACTGTCATGGATTTGTCGTGTCACGTCGCGCCCCATCCACAGCAGAGAACATCACTGGGTTCTATTTGCTTTTGTTAAATTGCGCCGCTCGCGTCTGGTGTAGACACGTTGTTTTGGTATTTGTGAATCTTAAGTATATTCATAATCTGCTCTACATTTACCTGGCACTGGAAGTCCTCTCACAAACTTGTAACTTTCATGCTTAGAGCAGAACCATGCATCGTTCATTTATATTTCTACATGGCTGCCTGCAATACAACTCTGATTCTTCAATCGCGCCATCTAGTGGTCTGTTATTGATACAACCACAACTTCTACCACTGATAATGGAGAGCTCAAGCGGGTACTGCTAGTCATGTTGAGGTAATTAAAATATGTCAAATTAATATTTTGCTCTCAATTATTTACTTATCAGACAAGTGGCCGCATGATAAGCGGGGACATTACGTAGTGTAGTCTTTATCATCCTGCAGAGGTTTGTTTTGCAAAATAATCTGCTGACTGTACACTATCTGTCACAGATCGGCCAGGCTCAGCCACCTCACAATCACAGCGAACACCATCACCTGAGTTCTGATCACACGCACCTGTCACGGATTAACAATCACTCTCAGCTCCCATTCATAAGCACACACCTCACACCACTCCAGTGTTCCATCTCGTTCCAACGAAGTGGACTCTCTCTCTATGATATCCGTAAGATTCAAGACTTACCTACCAGTTGTACTTACCTCCTGTGTTTCCTCCAGTGTTTCCTCCAGTGTTCGTTCCAGTCCCTTGCTCCGTGGATACCCCGTCACTCATCGTCTGAGGTGTGTGTTATCCTCTGTCTCCCTTCCATGATCTCCTGGGAATCCCCATACTAGAGTATTCTCTTCTCATCTTCCCAAAGGACTTCCGAACTAGCTTTATACTCACCTGCCCGTACCCTCTGCTTCACTTGCTGAAAATAAATATCATTGTATCTCTCTAACCCTCTGTGTGAGTCTCCTTCCGTAACACTATCCCTCAGCCTTGCCGTGCCCCCCTTGTCATAGCTCCGCACCCCCCAGTTTGGGAACCACTGGAGTAGGCGATTTGTTCTCTATTAATTTGGTCTGTTACGATGCTCTATGTGTTTGATTACTAATGCCGGTGTAGTACGGCGTTGCACACAGAGGACAAAAACAATCAGCCTCGACCCTTTATCATCATTTATGGTAAAATTTGCAAAGCGTACCAAATTGAACAAAACTATATAAATGCAAAATTTGAATTCATGAATATATAACGGTATCCACGGTATAGAAAAATCCATATCCTGGAACAACATAATACCGGTAGTCACTTTCATACCGGTATAGTGCCCACCCCTATTCTCTATCTCCTGAAGAAGGATTTTTTTTGTCTTCTGCCAGCTTCCTACGAAGGCGGTGACGAAGATTGCTGCTGTCTAGAAAGACAGGCAGGAGGTACACGTGTAGAGGTTTGTAACAGCACTGTTCAATAAGGAAAGATAAATTGCACCCAAAAAAATGAAAGCAAAGTTGCAGTAATTGAAGTATGTGAAAATTGTAATTTAGATTTACAAACATAACTCAAAGGTCCAGTGTGTAACATTTAGGGGATACACACATTCCTGAAAATAAGAATTGCTGTGCTTTAATTACTTTAGAATGGGCAGTTTTTATCTAAATACGGTCCCCTTCCACAGAGGCCACCATGTTCCTACTGTAGACCACAAACAAACAAACACTGGCTCTAGATAGGACCACTCACTTTTTCTCATCTGCCACAGTAGTTCTACTACAGCTTGGAAAGGGAGAGGGGTTGGTTGCAATCTACAACCTCATGCTAGTTACCACTAATTCCTACAGACTGGACATTTAAAGCACATAATTCAATGATTAAGCTTAACTGCTACTAAATTATGTGCTAATTACATGCATTTTTTGGTGGAGTAGGATGCATACAGTAGCTTGAATATATCAACCTATTATATTCTATAGTTATACCATTCTGACGGTAAAGGGTTTGTTTCCGCTGTCTCACACTAATGTAAAGCCCCTCAATTGACTGCTGAAGTCCTCTGTGTGTGGTGCCTTGGCTGGCATGAGATGTATCTGGTGTCTCTGTAGAAGTAATAGTGAAAGCAAATCCAATGTTAAAACAACTCAGGGTTACACTTTATTTCGATAGTCCACTTTAGACATTCTATTAACTACAAGTAACTTTGTAACTACATGTCAACTACATGTCAACTAATTCTCATTAATTTGCAACTACATGTCTACTAACTCTCAGAGTAGACTGTTAGGGTAGGTTTAGGGTTAGTAGAGTTGACAAAGAAAGTGTTAGAAGATATTAAGCAGACAGTCTACTAATACTCTACTAACTGCTAGTTGACATGTAGTTGCAAAGTTATTTACTGTTAATAGAATGTCTAAAGTGGACTATCGAAATAAAGTGTTACCCAACTCAGAACTGTTTGTAACGAATCAGTCCAATGAAGGCGAGCGTAGTGAAGAACCCAAGTGCAGTTTATTTACAGGTGATCCAAACAATAATCCGAGACTTGACTTGACATGAACAGACTTTACTTGACGAGGCATGAACAGACTTGACTTGACATGAACAGACTAGACTCACCGACAGCGGGTTACAACTTCAATACACGACGACAGACAATGGCAACATGATGGCTACTTATAGGAAACAAGTTCAATACACGACGAGAGACAATGGCAACATGAGGGCAACTTATAGCAGACAAGAGGGTCACATGACAAGAACAAACCAATGGGAAACAAGACACATGACTAAAACAACCAATCAGAACATGACACATACACAAGGCAGAGAGACATGAGGCAAGGGAAGCATGACACTAACATCAGGAAACAATTACAAAATAAAAGACATGGACATGAACATGAAACAAAAACAAAACCCAAACCCCACATGACACTGTTTCAGTGTTTGAAATTGTATTTGTACATAAAAACCCCTTTTAATCCAACATCATTGAACTTGGTATGTGCACTTCCTGCAGGGAAAATGAAATACCCAACATAAATGTGGCAACACATCTGATGGTGACATGTAGTTTGCTGTAACCCATAGATGATCAGTCTATTATCTTTAGCTGCTCTTTAATATCAAACTTAAAATTTCAGATAGTAGTGGAAAAGGATATTTGCTGTTTCTTTTATCTGGTCATGCTTACCGCCAGCTGCCCATACCTTCACATCAGAAAGCCACTGTGACACCACTTCATCTATGCAAAGTAACTCTGTTTTTAGTCCAGCAAGCCTTGCCGTTTCATCCCGGAGTCTCTGACAAGTCTGATAAACAGTGTTATACAATAATCAGGACTTAGTACGATTAAAAACAGGCCAAGTGCACACAACAAAAGGATACACAAAACAATTAATAGGAGACTTACCTTCACATATCTTGTTGAAAGTGTCTGATGTAGAGAGATACTTTTTTTGTGGTTCCACCCCATTGCATGCAATGTAAACATGTCCACCCGTGCTGTTTAAAGCAAATAATGAGATTATGATGCTTAATCTAAGAAAAATAGGCAAGAATATTGCAAACAATCTGATTACCTGCTTTAGACATTACATGCTTTGTCAGGGCACAACGTGAGAGGTAGCTGTTCACTTGTTCGACCTCCTCACCGGCGGTTGTCCCTGATCCTTCCTGGTTCCTACCACTCCATTTAATCTATTAGTAAATGGTGAAAGAAATTCAATTTAATTGAATGGGCACAATCTGCCTCAAAGGGCTTTACAATCTGTACCAGAAATGATTGAATGAAAAACAGCTACATAGTATAGTGTAGCCCTTCACTTCAATTTCACATTATTAATGTGCTTGTAAACATTACAATTGTACATATGATGCAAAAATATTATACATACTTCACACTTAGTAGCATGGGCTCGAGCATGCATCACACTGAGGAAATGTTTCATTGTGGTCAAATCCTGAAGAGCAGGAAGGACACTAGCAGCTTTCTCCAAGTATGGCCAATATCGTTTTTATACAGTCTGTGCAGAACGCACGCGAGAGAGTCAGCGCAGATCGCTCGTCTCATAAGTGAGTGGGAATTTACCGAATGTGGCACTTGCGTGACAAACAAATCTAATAAAAGCAATGGCATTTCTCTCAATTTGATTTTGGAGTAGTTGGTTGGCAGAAGTAGTTGAAGTGGGGAGGAAATCAAGGTCGCACATATATGGTTCTTTTTGTAACAACTTGGTCAAGTTATGATTGAAACTTGCATTTCTCACTGCTTTCTTGTATGGTTTCCACAAATCTAGACACCGCAATGTCTTCAGCCACAAAGAACCCCTCAAAAAAGGCAGGATCATCAGAGCTGAGGAAGAAAGAAAAATAGGAAATGCATCCAATAAATATATAAAGTAAATAAATAAATAAATTAAAAGACTGAAACAAAAGACCACCTTGTGTCTCGGCAAAAGCGATATAGCTTTCTGTTTCCATCGGCTGAAACAGCCAACATTTCCGGCGTGCAGGCTGAGCAGGTGAAAGGAGCATCACAGCAGAGCTGGTTTTCCTCAAATGAAGCATATGAAAACTCTAAGAAGCTGCGCTGTAGTGTATCGCCGTTGATATGTCGAGACTGGAAGATATATAAAATGAAATAGAATATGTGATGATGTCTGCTTATGGAAAGCAATTGCATAATATGGTAAAACAATTACACTTACTCTTCCTCCAATCTTAGTGCGATGCTCCAGCAGCTTTGCGAAGGCTTGTCTGGAGAATCCCGGAGAGATGACCTTGAGTTGCTGAAAGGAGCTCAGGAGATCCAGTGTATAAAGTGTGGAACTGGTGACAGAGGCTGGCCAATATCCACTCCTAAGGTGGTCCTTCAAGTCAGGGGTCCACTGATGCTGGCACGTTTGACAAACATATAGTGGCTGATGCAAGTCAAAACGCCCTTGGAACAAAAAAAAATAAATTAAACAAATAATAAATACACATTTACCCAGGACTGTACAGTGCGACATATATGTCGCACATGCTACGAAAAAACTGGTCTGTGCGATGAATAAATTTACCACTGTAGCACGCGTGCGATACAGTTTTGCATGTTCATAACACAGCCACTTAATAGTGTAAAGTGATTTCGTTGTGCTTCTTTGTGTGTGTGAGATTGATTACAGCCTACTTGGTAGTTAGGGGTGTGTGATATGATTATTTTTGATCGTGGACTATTAAAATGTCTCTGCTTTTGATCTGCTTTTGAAGAAATATCATAGTATCGTGTTACAGCGCACAAGAGTGGCCAGCAGACATGCTTGATCTGTGACACGCACTATGCACTAAACTAAAAAAAGATGCAACTGTTGAGAGCATTAGTCTCAGAGGAGTGTCATGGTATAGGTTAGTTTGCTAGTTTGCAAATTTAGCGTTTTATTTAGTGATGTCTTCCCACAGATCTGTTCTACTATAATGTGTAATGTTGAGGTGTAAAAAGGTGTTATGTTTCTGCACTCTTCCATTTTTAGCAAATAAAGAAAAACTTTCTCTAAAAACTATTTTTGTGATGGTTTGTATTTTTTTTGTGTGTGCTATTAAACATTAATACCTGTTTAAGTAATGAACTCCATTACTTGTGTTTGTTTTCAGACATGATAACAGACGTTTTATACTTGTGCTACAACTGTTTGGCCTGTGCTACAAAACTTTCAACCTCTCTAGCACCAGTGCTATGTGCAAAAAATTATCAGTATCACATTGTTTACATTTGTCTAACTTGCTAAATTTCAAACAGCTGTTTTGATTGGACTTCATGCTGGAAGGATGCAAAGAATGTTACTGCTTTGCAACAGCTAACGATCGTTTGTTTGTTTGCGAAGGACAAAAATAAAAGATGTCTGTCACTTTTATTTATTTATATAGCGCTTTTAACAATACAGATTGTGTCAAAGCAACTGAACAGCATTAATTAGGAAAATTAGTCTCAGGTAAATTGTATTCAAAAAGCATTAGTCTGTCTTGGTTTCAGCTAATGACAATACCATGTGCTATACCATAGGTTTTGACACAACTGCAGTTGTAATCACAATGCCACAGCAGACTATAATACATCTGAATAATGCATTTTTTACCATTGATGGTAATTAAAATCACTGGTTTGCCTGGTAACACGATGAAGTTTGTGCCTTCACAGGATCAGTCCAGCACCTTCACAGTTGGCAAAATGCAAGCTGGCAAAAAGAAAGAAAACGTCTCAGGTTACTTATGTAACCATGGTTCCCTGAGTAGGGAACGAGACACTGCGTCCTCTAGGGGTCGCTGTGGGGAACTCCTCGTCGTGACCCGTGTCTGAAGCATACATTGAAAAAACACCAACTCGTTGGCCAGCGACAGCCATGACGTCACTACCTGTTAGGGCCAGACTCCTGGGCCCGGGGTAGAGCTGAACAAGATCAATAACGCGTAACCCTTACCATACAGGATTTTAGAAAAGTGGGCAAAGCATAACGTGCACACTTACCACTTATGTGGATTTTAGAAAGTGGGCAAAGCATAACGTGC